GAGCACCTTTCACACCTTTAGCTCTAAGGATATGTATGCTAGTTGATTACCTTCAGACATACAATTCTAGGGTTTGACAGATTGAGCACCTTTCACACCTTTAGCTCTAAGGATATGTATGCTAGTAGATTACCTTCAGACATACAATTCTCAGAAAATTCTGAGAGTATAGACTGTCAATCTCTTGTTCAAATCAAGTTGTTCTGGTACTGTGCTGTACATTGAATGTGTAATGTTCTTCAATAACATTTACAGTACAAGTTTGTTTTGTCATGGTTCTACTAATACTTAACCACTATATTTCATGATCTTTCTGTGTTTATCTTTTCTCATTAGACTGCAACATTGACGGGATTTCCTGTGTCTAAAGGAGAATGCCTTTGTTTACCTATCAGCTATTTCAGCTGGATGTGCATTTTCTCCCATGAGTAGTATATAAATCCTCTTGATTTTTCATTACCATTTAATATAAATGCTTTGGTCCAACAGTGACTGAACTTTTTGCAGCAACTCTAATTCAAATGCTTTTGTGCTGTATTCCTGAGCCATGGATTGCAGTGAGGTTCCATTCATAAACCTTTTCACCAGCAGCAGAAGTCCAACTTCTAGGAGAGGACTTCTCCTGAATATGACTACTCCCTGAGGTGGTCCTCTTCAGTGACCAACTTTCCCTCTAGGTTGTACATCCTTCTTGTTGTAGAAAATGACATTTCAAAACAAAGAGGTAAATAGGTATTTTTAAACATTACAACCAAAGAATTCACATTGAGGGTAATACACATTCCAGTGATTATCAGCAAAGTCCATAATAAACCAATATCCTGTGACCATGGCACCAAAATTTCTTGTTACCTATGTACCCTGTGGTATATTCAGGCAAAATAAATATAGATTTGCGATTTTCTAAAGAATTAATGGACAGAATGTAAAACACAATGACAACAGTATTCTTTATTACCTAAGACCAAAACGCAGTATGTGTTCTTGCTTAAGATGGGATGTTGCTTCTTCAAGAAGTTTCTGTTTGAAGACCAGCTCAAGACTAACTAAATGAAAGGTTTCCACTTAAAGTGAAACCTTTTATTATTTACCTAGTATCAGTGTGCTATGTGATGGGTCATTCTCATTCCTTATTGGTAGGGCCATGATCTCTAGTTGTTATCTGTACAGCCAGTGAAGACATTACTCTTGAAGCCCTGAAACAATGTTGCTTTAAGCAACGTTCTCCATGAGCAATAACAGGTATCACCTACTTTGAAAATTACAAAGGTAAGTTGATACAACCTGAACTTAATGTTTTTTTATCATGTTTTATGTGGAAACCTCTTCATATACTGAACAAAGAATAAATTCAGAATACATATTAATACTATGGAAAGATAAAACTACAGGTTATTCCTGTATTACCCATTCATGGTATTGATTATGAGTCACTGACTCTCTGGACTTAATTGTAGATGATTAAAATCAGGTTTGGGTTAATTTTTCCCATAAAAATATTCCCTTTTCTACAGACTTCTTAGGTTCCATGCCAGGTTTTACCAAATGCTATGTTATAGTCTACTTGGTCATTGTTCTTTTTCTATGAAGTTTATCAGTCAGGAAGCCTTTTCAAAGTCTAGTGGAACTGTGAAACTGGGTTAACCAATAATTACCAAGAAAAAAGTTATAAGAAATCATAATAGTACAAGTTAGAAGTTTTAAAACTTAAGTGAGGAGATATCCTGCAAAGTGCACCAATCAGTTCCAAGGATGACAACCAGAAAGAGATGAGAAAGTCCATATCAGAAAAACCAAAGGTAAGACAAATATAAAATAACTTTGATGCAAGAAAAAATACAGTGCAGTGATTCAATGGATTTAGTAGGATAGGTTTCATCTGCTGTGGTCCATGGACATTCTTCAGTTCTTTTGGCTACTTTTCCGATTGTCTTGGTGAGTACTTTTATTAATTAAGTCACCAAACATGTGTAAGATAGCAGGATTAGGGTGTTCCACAGCACCTCTGCCTCCCACTAGAATTTGAGGTGGTCAAGGAAGTTAAAGGCTCTCACTCTGTTATATGCATTTCAGTATAACCCTTTTGATATGTAGAATATACATACTATATGAAGATAACATAAACCCTCTTAAAGACAGAGTGGATCTCCATTTTAATTGTAATGCACTTCCTTTTTTTAAAAAAAAACATGCAAAAGCAGGCTGCATAATTGTGGGATATAACTTCAGATTGATAACTAGATGTAACTAGAGAAAAATGTACTGTAAAATTTGTATTATATTATATATGTGTGTGTGTGTGTGTTATATACTGCTTTAAACTTGAAGTTACATTTTGTGTGCAAAAACAGAAAGTTAGGATTTTTAATGACCTAATATTTGTCTTTTGAGATTTTACATAATTTACTGATATCAGTAAATTTATATTGATTGTTTCATTGCAGTGGCCGCTTGACCTCTCCAAGGTGGAAGACCTTCAAAGGATTAAAGTTAAGTCTGAAGAACAAAATCAGATTAAATAACATCATATGGAGAGCATGGCATATACAGTGTAAGTTGATTGGCATTTTACGTACATGTGTATTAGGCATGTAAATACGCATGACCTCCGGTTTACTTAAATGGTTAGAAAAGATTTATAGTAGTTGTGAGTGTAGTGAACCAACAGTGAGATATAGTAGAAAAATGTACCCTTGAAAGATGCTAGGAATATTACATTTTAATTACAACATCAGATTGTGCAACATTATGACATCTGTTATAATAAGGTTATTGACGATTTAAAGAATATAAGTAGTAGTATTTGTAATTTAATATTACCATTTAGTTAAGTGCATGTTGGATACTTTCTATGTTGATAAAGTGAGTGAAATAGGGAGGGATTTAATTTTGTTCTGGTGGTAATTATTTCATATCTTATTGATTTATTATTGTGTATTCAAAAAATGGATGATACCTAGAAGATATCATACTAATGTATTCTTGACATATTTTTAAGGGGGTCAGGAAGAAAGTTAAACTTGTTGGCTTGTTTATATTCAAGAGTTAAAAATCAGTGCTTAAACTGTGTCAAAGACTTGTTTAATGAAGATTAATTCACCAGAACTTTGCCTTTATTATTTTTCTACAGAATTTCAAATCTTTATTTAAGATTTTGACCATGCTGTAGCTGGATTTGTTTTGGTAATTTAAAAAACCTAAGCAGTAAATATCATAGAAAAGCAATATGTATTTATTTAAGATATTTTTAACGATGAACAAGTGAAGAGGTAGGGGAAGGGGAGCACCAAATAAATTTTCTACACTCATTAGTTTGTCTAATGTACATCTATGTGAACATTTGACTTTTTTTGTACACAGTAGAACCTTAGTGCATACTTCACAAAGGAATTGAGTTTATGCTTTGTGCACAAACATATTCGTTTATCAGAAACAGGTTATATAAGCTGTATTTTTCTACATTTAGTAGTTCATTGGTACATAATACCAAAGGTTTGGATATGTACTTGAACAGTTGATGAAAAATTTCATAGTAAATAACCTTGTAACCTGAATTCGAGCAACTATTTCATGAATATTTATGTTCTTATTTAAGAATTCTTCTCGGTTGTGTATTTGTTTATATACTGAGTAGCCATAAAGTATGTTGGCCACTTGCCAGTGCCATATCACAATGTGCCCCGAGGTATTGCCAGTGACTTTGCATTAAATTGTGTCCTTCATCATGAATAGTTATTGAATTACAAACTGGTAAACTGAACTTTGATGTGACCCCCATAACCAGTAATCTTTTGGGTCAAGATTTGCCTTCTCATGTCATACTAAAATTCCTTGTAGTTAGCATCCAAATGATTTCAGCATTTTTTCTTCTTTGAATAATCATGAATTATGGCTACAATTACGCTCCCTGGTGGCAAAATGTATTTATTAATTTTTATTTCTCATATGCAAATAATAGTGTTCTGAGATTTTCAACCTCATACTTTGTGCCATTTCACAGCTGTGACAAAGCAAAATGACTAAAGGACTTTATAACCACCCTGCATATGCAAAACATGTTTCATTTCTTGGTCCAACTTCAAAAAGCCTGATATAGTCTGGTTTACTAATTCTAACTGGCTGCCACAGTGAAAGCTTTATTGAGAACAGCTAATAAAAAAAAAGTGATCATAAAGGCAAGTAAAAACTAGTAGTAGCTGTTCTTCAGCACGACTATATAAATCTTACTTGTGAGGTTTAACTTGTTTATGTAAAGTAATCACATTTTTTAAATTGATTGTAAATACAATTCGTAAAACATTCTGGAGATAAATGAGGCTATTGTATGAGTATTGGAGGAATTTTTTTTTGGGGGGTGCAGGTCATGGATTATATAAACGTATATGATAGTACTTTAACTTTAAACAAATTAAAAACTAGTCTCTTTTTTTTCTTTTCATTAATATTTGCTAGAAACTACTGCAAAATGTTGTGTGATAGCTACCAGGTTTAATGTGGATACTTCGAGCTGATTTGTTTGCTATTTTATTGAAGTCCAAAAAAGAGGTTTTGTTTAGATTACCTATTGTCTTGAAAGAAACTTCTGACACTAAATAAAAGCATGGATGCACTAAAAATTGTAGCAGGAAATAGAACTGAAGAATATTATCCTCTACCAAACTATTATACACTTTATCTGGAATTATGTATTAACAAATTATCAGTGTGAATGCTACACAGCTAGATAAGACTGTAAAGATAAAATCTTGAGACTGGTCATGGGATGTACTTCAGTCTATGTTACACCTCATAGGCTTCAGTAGAATTGCAGAGCATCAACAACACTTATAACAATATTCTTCTTTAGGTCCTTGCAGTGTAAAGACCATGCTTTCCACCATTGAGCCACTACCCATTTAGGTTGGGTCATTCCAATCCTTGCAGTATAAAGACCATGCTTTCCACCATTGAGCCACTACCCATTTAGGTTGGGTCATTCCAATCCTTGCAGTATAAAGACCATGCTTTCCACCACTGAGCCACCACCCATTTAGGTTGGGTTATTCCAATCCTTGCAGTGTAAAGACCATGCTTTCCACCATTGAGCCACTGGCCATTTAAGTTGAGTCATTCCAATCCTTGCAGTGTAAAGACCATGCTTTCCACCATTGAGCCACTGCCCATTTAAGTTGAGTCATTCCAATCCTTGTAATGTAAAGACCATGCTTTCCACCATTGAGCCACTGCCCATTTAGGTTGGGTCATTCCAATCCTTGCAGTGTAAAGACCATGCTTTGCACCATTGAGCCACTGCCCATTTAGGTTGGATTATTCCAACTAAGGAGACAGTAACGTAAAATACATCCACCATTGAGATAATTTGTCACCACCAGATCTCAGACATCCTCCCATGTGAAATGAACATATGGTGCCACTGGGGTCTGTTGAAATTGACCAAGACAGAAATTGTAGAGCAGAGGGTGAAGCACAAAAAAACTATCAACACCTATCTAAAAACCATGGACACTCTCCGGTCATCATAGCCACAGATGGTTTCAACACCATATACAGTGAGAGAGCTAGTTGGGCATTTTTCACCTTATAGAGGAACAACATTCTGCACATGGCCACTGCAGGGGAGGGGGTGGGATTATTTTTTATTCATTCAGTATATGTATATGAATTATCTATTCAATTCACAATTTCACACTACTTTGCCCCCCCAACTCTGAAAAATATTGCCCCTCCCTGGAATAATTTTTGCAGATGCCTCTGATTCGGCATTAGGCTGTTGGAGCATTCAAGCTTCCTACAAACAGTAGAAAGATGAAAATGAGACTGTTGAAGAACAAAATACCATACAATGTAGCTAGGAAAAGCAAAATATGGAGAATCAGTAGGATAGTATATAGCAAAAAGGCTACTCGTAACCTCAAGAAATTAACTCACTTCTACCTCCTGTGAGACAGCCAGTCTCCAGTGAGGGGTTGGTGCTCATTAGCATAATCCATGGGATTGTTTCCCACTACTCAACTTAAAGCCTAAGTAGAAGTTAATAGTACTGTTTTAATTATGCTGAAATATCCTGACTATACTGAGTTTTAGAATCATTTATATTTGTAGTATATAAATATGTCTCATATGTAGAAGCTTAAAGTAAACGTTTGTGAATTAATTTGGCAAATTTATCAAATCTGAATTTGGGGATATTTTAACATGCTTTGCTGTGAGGCTTAAGTCCTGTGAAAGATCTAGGAAATGCTGTAAAATTTTGCCGTAGGAAGTAGTTTTTGAGTGGTCAGGTCATTGCCACAGCTAAACAATGTGACACATGATGAGTGAAAAATACACTATCAGCATGTAAAGCATGCCATTTTTAGGGGGTCTGGAGGCATGCCCCCAAAAGTTTTTTTGAAAATTTAATGCTATGAGATTGAATATTGAGCCATTTTAACTACAAATACTGCATACACACAACGTAATGAATTAAACGAAGCAAGTTTTAATACATAAGTTGTAGCTATACATGCCATGAGAAAATGTGGTCAAGCCATGGCCTGATTGTCGTTACCACTTCCTACAGCCCTGGTAGAATATTGTGCCAAATAACATTCTATAATGTTTGTGGCTTGGCAAAGACCATCTTGCAAGGCACCAAGAGAGGGAAAAGAAGAAGAGGTGGGAAAACAACATCAAAAAGTGAACATGCCTGAAGTTCGTCAACTCCCAGAGGGCGGTGGAAACTAGGAAAGATGGAGAGAGCTGGTTGTAAAGTTGTCAGTGGTGCCTCAATGAACCTGAGGGTTAAGGGACAAACTCTTTCAATGTCGATTATTTTTAGTGTGACACACCCACATAGTAACAGTTGGATGAGGATTGGTTCACACAACATTACCAAACTTTGTAACAACTAAGGTTGAACTGGTCTATGTATACATGGCAAAAGGCACACCCTCTCAGAAACCAGCTCCTCCTTTACTTCTAGATGTTAGGTTGTACCAGAAACCAATCACGTATAGCAAGTTTGGATCTTGGTAATTTATTTATGATTTACTTATAGATTCATATTTGTTTAGATTATAGTGTACTTCTATATTGTAAAATATAAATAGAATTTCATGCTAAAATAATATAATAAAAAAACAACACAAGTCACAATATTGTTGAAAGCATGAATATATTAAAACAAAACTCACATGTATTTTTTTGCATCTTGAGGATTTGAATATTTTATTGATATTGATATATTTATGCTTTTAACAAAATTGTTATGTGTTTTTGTGTGTGTGTGTTAACTTTCATATTCCACATGACATCACATTAAAATGAAATCTCTTTACTTTTATAACATATTATATAATTGTAATTGGTCTTTAAAATTTTTTTATGTGAACAGAAATTTAGTATTAAGTTCTGGGCTGTTGATAACTATAGGTAACAACATAGTAGAATGGTGTAACAGGAATAGGACGTGTTTTATGTGGTTAGTAAAGATAAAAGGGATTAATTTGTACATACTTGTATTTCTCTTGAACAGGATAATGTGAACTGTTGATTAGAAAACTGTATATATCTACATTACTTTTAGTCATGTAGGTGGCATATCTTTGGTAATTTTTTTATTTCATTGATGATTACTTTTTAATATTACAACGAAGATGCTTGCATAGTTTCACATTTAAATTACATCATCATAGTTATTATTGGAAGGAGACATTAGTTATTTTTAATTTTATTCAGGAAATACAAGATATTTGTAGTTATTATTGGAAAGAGACATTAGTTATTTTTAATTTTATTCAGGAAATACAAGATATTTGTAGTTATTATTGGAAAGAGACATTAATTATTTTTAATTTTATTCAGGAAATACAAAATATTTGTAGTTATTATTGGAAGGAGACATTAGTTATTTTTAATTTTATTCAGGAAATACAAGATATTTGTGAGTTTTTCACATTTCCTTCTTCATCATCTCTCGTTTTCTCTTCTAGTGTGAAAATCAGTTATCAAAGTTTTGATATTATGTGTGTATGTCATACTTAATTGGATATTTTCATTCATAGATTAATTTTATTTATGAAAAATGCAGTTTTTCAATATAGCTTTTATAAAACAAGTTGTGCTTCCTTTGAGTCAAGAGAATATGTCTTGTTTTCAGAACACGGTTACATGCATCACAAAAGTGTTTTACCATATTAAGGTATTTTTGCCACAGAGAATAACTTTTAGGTCATGTTGATCAAATACAGAATGTATGTAAAAGTATTTTGTGTGTGACAAGAAAACTTCACCATATTATCCCGTAGTCGTAGTAGCTCTATTTTTCTCATTTGAACCATTCAATAGTAAACTGTGTTCTAAATATCACTGTTGGTGTGATTTATTTTTTCCTTTTTCTTCACAATGATACATTCACAGTTGAATTTAAAAAGTTCAGGGAATTTAACACTTTTTATCTAAACTTCAAAAACAAATAAATTGTAAATAAAACTTGCATATTAAGAAACAAATGTATTTGATCTAATTATCGTGTGTGCAAGGTATATATATATATATATATATATTTCACAGTTTTAAATCTTGGTAGTCAGTAAAAGAATCTTGTATTGAGAAGACAACCCAACACTTGATAAAAGAGCTTATTTGAAGAACATACTAAATTTCAAGCTCATTTCATAGAAAAAAATAAAGTAACGTAGTAAGAAAATTAGGTTTAAAGTCAAGATACATGTGCAGCAGTATTTTTATAACCAAAGCAAGTAAACAAATATTTATAGATGAATAGAGTACTGTTTTTGTAAGTCTTCCTGAAACGTACAAAATAGTAGACTAATCAAAATTTAGAGTAGGAATATCTGTGAAGTCAAACCAACAATTTGTTTTTAATTTAGTCTTAGGAAAAAGGAAACCTGCAGTGTGCCAGTTTGCCTCTCCATTAGACGGGGAAACCCACAATAAACCAGAGGTAAGGATTCTGTGGCGTAATTAACGTCTCGATTTAAGAGTAACCACAGTAAGCAGAGAAAGCGTGTGAGAACTTATCAAGGAATTTCAAAAGGAACTTAAAGATTATTTTCATTCCATTTTATAATCTTGTAAAATTTTATACGTTGGAGAAAATCTGTTAAAAAAATGTGTCTGCATGTTTACATACAAATAAGTGCACATGTTGTAATATTATTACAGTAGACTTCAAAATAAACATCTGTGGTCATTTTGTATAGAAAGGAATGTAGCGCCTGGAATTTAAAGATCAGACTCAAGTCCGAGTTGCTTTTCTTATGTGGGTATAACCGTGTGAGTTGTTACTTACAAATAATTTGTGCTGTCAGTAGATACACTTAATTTTCTTACACAAAACAAGATGTTTGGAATGGATTCCTACATCTGAATTGTACTGTTAATTATAAAGATGTAGATTACTTGAACATTGAAATATTGTATCCGTAGTAATTCTCTGGATCGCAGGTTTTCATATAGTTAGTGTCAGTAAACAGATGAATGTGTTTTAGGTTATAAATAAAACTTATCATGTAAAGAAATTTGTCATAATTACTTGTATGTTTGTGAATAATTTTTCATAAATTTTATTTTGAATTATATACTTTATCTAGTAGGCTTGTGGACTGTGTTTTGATTTTATCTTGTATGTTTGTAAGCATTATATAGATTTTGTTTCATCTTTTACATTTGTGGACCTATTTAGTAGATTTTGTTTTAATATTTTAAAAGCATGTATCTTATAAAGAAGTCTATCAATAAACATTTCAAAATGTGTACACATGACAACTAAACATATTACATTATTGTTTAATGATTAAAGTTACATTGAAAATGTGAGCTGAATTCATAATTACATTAAAAGGAGTTGATTGGTAATGTGTCCCTAAGTGTATTTCCACTATTACAGGAGCAGTAAAGCTGAAGGATTGAATTTTATTGACTGATTTGCTAACGTGTTTCTAGTATTGTGCTGTTTTTTTTTCAAATAAAGTGGAATGAAAGAATGTTATTTTGACTCAAATACTGCTTTTATATATGATCGAACAAGTGAAGTTTATCTGTGAAAGTGAACTAGCTGATGAAGAGCTTTGATGGACAATCTTCCTGGTGGATTTCATCAAGCAGTTTGTCTATAAAACTTTTCCTTAGCTAGATCACCTATGGTGGATGTCAGCTTTTTTAAACATGTTATACCATTGAATGAATTTGCTTATCAGGTTGTATCAAACGTATGTGGTTTAGTCTATAGTTTACTGGATTTTTTAAAGTAGACAAAAAACTTTTTACTACTATTATTCAGAGCCTGATCATCCAGATAAAGTTAATAAAAATTTTTTGAATAAATGCACTTAATGGTTAATATATATATATTTTCATAAAAAAATTTTAATAAATGCACTTAATGGTTAATATATATATATATTTTCATAAAAAAATTTTACGTTATTAATGACCATTTGGTTCTACTAAATATTACCTATCATATGAGTAGTTGATTGTTTATAATTAAGCACAAAGCTACACAATGGGCTATCAAAACTCGATTTCTAGTGTTGTAAGTCCGCAGACGTGCTGCTGAGCAGTTGAACTAGGTCAATATCACAGTGGTTTAAAACCTGTACCACAAATGAAACAGATATTTTTTAAACTTTTGATGATTAAAGGGAAAATTATACTTGAAATAATTCCTCTTTCAGTGTTATAGTAATTGTAGTTACACCAAAGTAATTATGCATATAGGTAGATGGGTAGCTGAAATTGTTTTTCATCCATTATGCTAGGATTATAATGACCTTAGATGAAATCACAATTAAAATAAAGATCGTATATACTTGCTCTTCAAAAATAGGCACCATTTTCAGGTCAACTATTGTGTAGCTTGTATGCACATTTGATAAGTTAACGTTTGTTACAGTAAGAAATGAAAATTTAAGTAATGTTTACATTTCTAGTGATTTTCGTTTAAAGTGTTATTATCGTGTATGCACGAGCGTGGATATGTGTTTTATTATTTTAGTGTTTTTTTTTATCTTTAAGTTTTATGGTAAATGTATGCACAAGTGTGGATATGTGTTTATTGTGTAGGCTATTGTATTGGAAGGGAAATACTGGAAAAGAAAACTAAGCACAATTACATCAGAGTACAAAAAGGGGCGATTGTTCTGTTGGGAAAAGATTCGTGCAAAAAACTCAGAAATTTCTGACTTGGTAAGTGTTATTGCACTCACCTCTCTGTTTCATAAAAATGGCCTTATACACAGTTTTACAAAAGGAGAAGTATGTTGTTGTTCTTCATAATAAATTGTAATAAGTTTAAAACATTTTAACCCTGTATTCATGGCTAGCAACTACTTGGGAATGGCCTCTTTTATAGTGAAAACTGTTACTTGGGGGGGGGGGGATGTAAAATATTTCATAATACTGGGAAATTAGATTTTCATATAAACTTTCTCATTCTGTAAAGAAGTGATACAAGTTTTTGTTTTTTGTATGTTATTGCCAACTGGAGCTGGGTGATTAGTGGAATTTGGTAGTCAATTAATATACAGGAGTAAATATTCTTCCAAACTAATGTTCGAAATGTACAGGAATAATTCTGAGATTTTGAAAATTTGAGAAGAATTTTTGGTCATGGTAAAAGAAGAAAAATGGTGAAGGGTGAAAACAATGAAGAAAAGGAGAAGGAAAAAATTAGACAGAAATGTAAAAGAGATAACAGAAAAATATGGAAAGGAAACTGTATTGAATATTTGGATTTTATCACTGAATCCAGGTTCTTTTTTTTTTTTTTGGCACTGTTATCAAAGTGTCAGACACTGAAAAAATAAGGAAGAAGCTTAGGAGCTTGGATTGAAGGGAAAATTAATTTTTTGCAAGAATGTTTACCCCTGTTCAGATGTAGTAATTATTCTTTCTTGTACTCTTTATCATAGAAAATGTTTTTTGAAAAAGTACTGGAAAAAGTGAAAACTTAATTAATTCATACACTGTAGTTAGGTGAACAAGAAAACGATTTACTGAAATAAAATTTCAATAAACAGCACGTACTTTGACATTTTCTCCAGCTAATATACAGTACTATATTGTAATGTATTCTGGAAAAAAAAATGAAGTTATTCCAGTGTTTCTATAACTTAGTTTATGATATTAAATGTTTGAAAACTAAACATCTAGAAACAGAGAAATGGATAAATACCTTCACAGATAATAAATGTCTTGTTTGGAATTGACTGAGAAACCTAAAGATGCTGTTTACTTCCGCTATGTAGATGATACATTTGCCATTTTTAAAACTGAACAGGAATGCGAGTGTTTCTTACAAGACCTAAACTTGTTACACTCGGCTCTCAAATTTACTTTCGAAAAGAAACAACATAACTCTTTACTGTTCCCAGACATCTTAGTTGAAAAAATTTTCTCACCAGTATATACAGAAAACCTACCTTTACAGGACAAAACACACGATGGGATTCTTTCAGTCCTAAAAGTCGCAAAACGAACCTTATTGCTACTTTAGTCCATCGCTCTAGTTATCTGTTCAAAATCTAAACTAGATTTCGATTTGAAGACAATTAAAACTAATTTACTAGAAAATGGGTATCCAGAAAATGTCATCAATCAAATTACTTCAAGGAAAATTGCGAGGTTCCCAACTGCCCCAAAATGTGGTCC